CTTTGAAATTTTCTGTTCAACTCTTGGACCTCTTTAATTCTTTCCATTTGCTTTAGCTTCTCTACGCTGGAGAGCAAGTTTCATAGTCTCCTCTGACATCCATTTTGATCTTTTCCTTCTTTCTTGTCTTCTTAATGACTTTTTGCTCTCTCTTCATGTATGATGTTCTTGATGTCATCCCACAAGTCTTCCGGTCTTCGGTCTTTAGTGTTTAATGCATCAAATCTGTTATAATAGTAGGCAAGGGAAACCAATATTCATAAGACAGTCAGGTATCTTAGTATTATTTCCCCTCTTCGAACTGTGCCTAGATCTGTGTATCACAGACCCCTGTTGTTCCAAGGTTAAGCATGCATCACTGTTTACCTCTGTCTCACTTAGGCCATGCAAACCTGTCTCAGTGTTCCCCTATCTACTTTGTTCTTACACCTCCTTGCTGTTACTGTATTGTCCTCCCTATCACCCGAACTATGATGTGTCTGCCTTTACTCTGTGCTCTACTGTTGTCTCCCTCCACCTGCCCCCAAACACCCCACCCCAACCCCACCGTTGTGGTTAGCTTACATTCCTTTAACTTTTCCTTCCATTTAAGACAGCCTATTTTATCCTGTAATCTACCTGAGCTTCCCATCACCTAGATCTCTGTTCCTCTGTGTTTACCTTCTTTCACATTGTAATTCTTTTGATCATAGCCTGACCTCCCAGATCCTCTGAATTTGTTCTTACTGTTTTGTTCTGTTCTTGACTCTTCCATTTGTCAATTGACTTCTAGGTGATGCTGCCACGTATGCCAGTCTCTGGTTGTTGTCTGTTCTTGTTGGTTCTCTGTCCACAGAACTCCCTTTAGGATGTTTTTCATTGCAGGGTTGGCTTTGGCAAAATCCCTTAGCTCCTATTTATTCTGTAATGTTTTGATTAAAACATCATATTTGATTGACAGCTTTGCTGGATAGAGGATTTTTGGTTGGTAGTTTTTTTTTTCTTTCAGGGTTTTATATATGTCTCCCCATTGATTTCTTGTCTGCATGGTTTCTGTTGAGAAATCTGAGCTTAGTCTGATTTACTTGCCTTTGTGTGTTACACCTCTTTTATCCCTAGCTGCTTTCAGAATTCTGTCCTTACCTTTAATTTTGGAGAGCTTGATTTTTATATGTCTTGGTGATTTTCTTTTAGGGTCTAGCCTTCCTGGGGTTCGTTGAGCTTCTTGGTTGCCTATCTTTTCGCTTTTCAGGAGGATGTTAGGGAAATTTTCTTCCAGCAGTTCTTCAACTATCTCTTCTGTGGACTTGTGCGCTTCTTCTTGTTCTGGAATGCTGATAATTCTTAAGTTATTCCTCTTCATGTTGTCCAACATGAATCTTAGGTCTTCTTTAGATTTTTAAAATACTTTTTTCAGTTTGTTCTTCTATCTTAGTGGTACTGAGAAATTTATCTTCCAGCTCACTAGTTCTGGCTTCCATCTCTTCATTTCTACTCCTTTGCCCTTTCAGTGTATTGTCCATTTTTTATATTCTATTATTAATCATTTAGACCTCTTTTTGTAGGTTTTGTGTTGTTTTCCAATACTGTATCTATCTTATTTGATTGTTCCTGTAGCGCTTTCCCGACATGTTCCTTATTTTTCTCAACACCATTGTAAAGTGTTTTGAGACATTTTATAATAATTTTTCTGAATTCCTTCTCAGGCATTTCCAAAGCCTGCCCTCCTTCCAATATGGAGTGTAGGTCTTCCTCCTGCTCATTTGTCTCAGTTACTTTATCTTGTTTCTGGATATGTGCTGATATGGTCATCTCTTTCTGTTTTTTTGGGGGCATATTCAGTGGTTAGCTGTGGTCCTAAAACTTAGATGAGTGTGTGTTTTGGTACTTTTTTTATGTTTTCTGATTTGCCTTCAGGTAGATGTGATCAGGAGATGGGCTTTCCTTTTCACTGTTCTTCCTGAAAAATTTCAAGATGCCACTGTTGGTCATTGTGACATAACTCAGGATTTAATTTTCAGCCTGTTTCCTGTAGTCTGCCTATTATACTCCAACAGCTCCTGTCCAGGCCTTTTTCCTAGCGATAAGCAGTTTAGGACCGTCTGTGGCTATTTTGCATAGCTGTTTGGTTTTTAGTGGAAACTGTCATTTTAAATTTCGAGGAGATCTGTACGCATGCATAATAGAACCCTCCATGGGTGGGGTTGGGTGTCCACTCGGTCAGGTACCCCCTGTAGTCACCAGAATGGAGGTGCGCAGCCAGCGAGAGACCAATGAACAGATTTTAAAAAAATTAGTCCACATCTTTATCTCCGTGGTTCTGTCAGGTGTCCGTGGCTGCTCTGATCCTTCACTGGTTCGGTCTTCTTACCTAAGATGGCCACTCAGGGAGCAGCTGAGCGCCTTGGATTAGAAAGCACATGATTTCTTGCTTCTGCTACAAATTCCGCTGGCTGTAAGCCTTCCAGTCTTCTAAATATTACTTTATATGTGGTTCAGAGTTCTGGAACCATCCCCTGGGCCTGCTTGGTCTGGTATTCTGTGTTGGTGCTGACGGAGCTCCTCCTAGCACTTCTACCATCTTGTTTGTTCTCGATCTGAGTCAGTATTGTAAAACATTATAGATTGCCTATGAAAGCAAAGCTGCAGTGGTGCCAGCATACTTAGCCAAGATTCTAAATGTAATTTTTTTTATTTTTTTTATTTTAAATATTGTAGTGTCCTAAGAACAGAAGCTTCGGGGCTGAATGGACTTGAGCATCCAAAAAAGTCCTTTGTCTGTTCAGAAAGTTGTAACGTGCATGAAGATGAAGCAGGCACCAGAAATCCTTGGCAATACGAATGGAAAGACTCAGAACTGTGAAGTGAATCGCGAATGCTCTGTATTCCTCAGTAAAACCCACCTCTCTCCCACTCTGCAAGAGGGGGTCATGCAAAAATTTAACGGCCACGATGCACTTCCCTTTATTCCTGCTGAGAAGCTGAAAGATCTTACTTCCCGTGTGTTTAATGGAGAACCTGGTGCTCATGATGCAAAATTGCGTTTTGAGTCCCAGGAAATGAAAGGAATTGGGACACCACCTAACACAACTCCTATTAAAAATGGCTCTCCAGAAATCAAGCTGAAGATCACCAAAACATACATGAATGGGAAACCTCTCTTTGAATCTTCCATTTGCGGGGACAGTGCAGCTGATGTGTCCCAGGTTGAAGAAAATGGACAGAAAGCAGAAAACAAGGCAAGAAGGAGCCGAAAGAGAAGCATAAAATATGACTCCTTCCTAGAGCAGGGCCTTGTTGAAGCAGCGCTTGTATCTAAGATCTCAAGTCCCACAGACAAAAAGGTACTTACGAGAAATTCTCTCTGGGGCTGAGGACAAACATGAGGACCAGGAGAGGATGTCTCCAGGTCGGGGGGTGGGTGGAGGGCAGCTGGTGGTGTGTGGGCAGTGGGCTGGCCCCAATCCATTCCTTACCTGTCTACACAGTATGGCTGATACTGCCAGGGCACCCCAACATGGCCACCTGAGGCCTTCCAGCCACCTCCTGAGCCAGTTGAGGAGCCTAGAGAGGTTAACTCAATGTTCTAGAAGAAAAGGGCTACTGAGAGGCAAAGCTAGTTTCTGGACCCAGGTCTGGTCAGTTCCAGACCCCTTTAACCTTCAGACCAGAGGCATTCTTCAGCTGAATTATGGTCAGCAGGAGGACACTGGGTGCAGTCAACTTTTTTAACCCATAAAATGCATGTCATTTTTGCCATATGGCTTCCTGTCAGCCCCCTTATCTATCTCTTCAACCAGGTGGTCCAGCACATTGTTTGACTCCTTGAGGGTGGACCCAGGTCTTATGTTTGTATGTTCCCAACGCAGAGCCTAACAGAGCCCAAGGGAACGAACACTGAAGTCATCAGCTACTGGGATGGAGAACCATATCTGAAGTTACAGGGTGGCTCCAAGTTGGTCTCTATGGTTTGTGTCACCATGTCTTAAATGACACTCAGGGGGGCCCTGGTAGTTAGATGACTATAAGTTGTATACAACAGCCAGGGAACTTTGACTTTGGCAGAAGGAAATGAGGCATTGCAGTCCCACCTGTGTTCATTTAGGAGTGAATTAAATACTACAAAAGGTGTCGCGGTGCCCTTTCTTTCCACATTATTTGTTCATGGCTTTTGGTGGCAGTTCCCTACCCACCTGTACTTGGGGTGGTGCTGGGCAGGAGCTAGCTTGAGATTAGTGTTATCACCAGAGTGAGAATATTTAGTTTAAAACTAGAATTGAGAAGTTTTATTTAAGAATTTCACAAATGGGAGGGGGAAAGACTGAAGTTACCTTGAAATTGTTAAAATAGTGAAGTGCATTGAAAGCGGAAGAAAATTGTTTTTGAGATGCTGAAGAGCGGCTTAGCTATTACTAATGTAATTAGTGCTCCACGGGAGCAAGATGAGGCTTTTTGCCCCCGTAAAGATTTACAGTCTCGGAAACCCTGTACAGGGTTGCTATGAGTCGGAACCGACTCCATGGCACATAACCACCACCCCATTGTAATTAGTAAGCCCTGGTGTCCTGGTGTGGTGCTGTGGGTTAAAGCGCTGGACTGCAAGGTCGGTTTGAACCACAAGATCAGTGGTTCAAACTTACCACCTGCTCCATGGAAACCCTGACCAAAGTCGCTGTGAGGTGAAATAACAATGTAATTATACTGGTGAGGTTTTAAAAAGACCAGTGTAGTGCTCTGGACTGATGAGATGAGTTTTCAGAGTGCCCTTGGTTGTATCAGACCTCATGCTTCTACAGGGGAGAGATCTGTGAAAACCTGGTTTTTGCACCCCCATTCGACCACTTATTTTGGTTCAAACTCTGGTTCTCCACTTGAGTTTTGACTTTGCATCTGTAGAAAGGAGGCACTTCCCCTCACAAGGCTGTCCTGAGGCTGAAACAGCACGATAAATGTTCAAGTGGGATGCTGTCGAGTATCCTGAAGGTCACCTGCTTTTGAAATCATAGAATGTGACAGAGGTGCCCTGGTGGTGCTGTGGGTTAGGTGTTGGGCTACCAGTCATTCCATGGTAGCATGATGATGCAGTCTGCCCCTGTAAGCCTGTATAGTTTTGGAAAAGACTCAGAATTGACTCTGGCAGTGGGTGTATAATGTGCCAGCTCTGTGCCAACCCTCAGCACCATGAACATTGCTTTTTATAACAACTCAGTGATTCGGGCACTGGGGTCCTCATTGTACAGACACTTTGGTCTGTCTGGCAGGAGCCCATTCTGTAGTTGCTGCCCTACACTATATAATTCTACGTTACCTGATTATGGTCCCAAGGAAACAGCTGAGAAACAGTTCCCTCCCACTGTAGGCAAAGAGAAGGATGTCTGCCTTTTCCATCCTGTGCCTGTAGTCTTGCTCTGTGGGCGCTGGAGAAGAGGAGGAGGTTAAAGGTCCTGTTGGCTGTGAGAGCAGGCTGAGGGAGTGGTGTGGAAAACACTTGTTCTTGTTAAGCCACTCAGATCTTATGAGCCACCCTTGTTGTATAGACAGACGAGGACTGAAGGATGCAGGCTCGTAGCGCCTCGGTGGCTCACCTATGGTAAGGTGGAGCTGGGATGCCTTGCTAGGCTCTCCTGGTACCCTTGCTGCCTCAGGTCCTTCCCTGTTGGGTAGCTCCCATGTTCCAGACATGAGGCTGTGGGGAGGGCTCCGAAGATGAATTCAGGACACCTTGAGAGTTCTTTTGACCAGGTAGGTCTGTGAAGTAATGTTAGAGGCCATCCATGGGCCCCCCTTCATAATGTCGAGTACCTACAAGGTCCAAGCATTGTGCTGGTGTTGTGGGTGAGGGCAGGTGAAGAGACAGATAAATAATTTCAATGAAGCAGTATTGGGGTTATGATTTACGTGGCAGAAGCATAAGCCTGCTCCCTTCTTAGGTGTGTGCATGTGTGTGTATGCACACATGTATGCTGTAAGCCTTTGGTTTTCTATTTGGAAAAGGACTAAGTTGGCGGTTGTTTGATTTGATGTTAGTATTTGTCTTTTGTTGTTCATTTCTAGATTCCAGCCAAGAAAGAGTCCTGTCCAAATGGCAGCAGAGACAGAGATCCTCTGCTGAAGTACAACATTGGCGATTTGGTATGGTCCAAAGTGTCAGGTTATCCTTGGTGGCCGTGCATGGTGTCTGCTGACCCGCTTCTTCATACCTGTACCAAACTGAAAGGTATTGTGACTTGGGCTGGTTTTCTACCCTTATATTCTGCATTGAACCTTTCTGCATTCCAGGCTGTTTGCTTACTTGTGGTTCATTTTTGCAGTTTTACCTGAAGTTAGTTACTGAATCAGATGTGACACATTGCCATCTTTTCTTATATCCATCTCAGCCATGTATCTGCCTGAATCTAGTTAGAGATATTAAATGAGAAGTGCTCTTTGCCTTGTGCTTTTAAAAATTATATTATAAATAATCTATTACTTAGATATGCAGTGGTTGCTTATTTCATCATGATTTGAAGAAATGGCATTTCACACCAAGTTTGAGTTACAAAATGCCCATGTTTATTGTATTAGGCTTCTTGCGATGCGGTAAGAAACTAGAAATTACCATCTTGGGTCTCATGAAACTTGGGAAGATAAATGTTCTTGTGGGTCTGCTGAAGAAGGCGTGTGTTAAGAATGTAATATGACATTGTTACAGATTAGAGCAAATAATAGGGTAAACCATGAGTGTGTTTTTGGAGGAAAAGTAAACAAAGGATTAGGTGGTTTTTAGAGTCTTCTGGAAAGTTCTAGAATATCCTGTGGATTGGAATCCAGTTTGAGAAAGGTGAGGTGTTTTGTGTAAAGAGCTGGAGCTGAGTCAGTCATGAGCCTCCGGTGCCTGTACGACCTGCAGAGATATGGGGCTAGAGCCACAGAGTGACCGGGCCCAGCGCTCCAGCCCAGCTTCATCAAGTGTCCCCCTGGGCAGCCTGAGATGGCATGTCCTCTCCTGAGGCCAGACCCACAGACTGACTGGGTCGAGTGCTCCTGGCCACCTTTGTCCAGCCCTCAGTGGTGCCTGTGATGGTATGTCCTCTCCTAGGCTCAGTGGCTGGAAGGTGCTCACCAGAGCAGTATTGCTGATCTTGCTACAGGTGTGTTGGCTGGGCATTGGAACAGGTGGCTGCTGGGTAGTGTTGTATTGTGTGTGTCTCTGGCACACAGATGCCAGAAATGGGCACTGCTTCAGGACTAAGAACACTTTGCTTGGGTTTGGCATGCTGCCTTCATTACAGGGCATGTCCCTGCCTGAGTCTTCTCACCCCCCAGGTGCCATGAGATTCAGGAGCCCCTGTCTCTCTACAAGTTCTTAGAGCCTGGCGTTAGCTGTCTCCCGTGGAGGACTTCTCACGTCCTTGGCTAGCCAAATGACTTCAGGGGCCCCAGGGTGTCTTTCTCAGGCATCTAACCTGGGTCAGAGGGAAGACTTGGACCTTTCAGATAGAACCTGGATGTTCTGCCATTGATTGGCGATGGGTCCTTGTGCATTTGCCTCCAGGTGCAGGCAGAGGGCAGTGTCTTCCATAGGTCTGGGCTCTGCTGAGTCTGCTCAGCTTCTCAAAGATCAGGCATGCACTGCACACTGAAAACCCCAAACAGAATTCAACTTCAACAACATTTGTCTGCGTAGCAACACAATTGAATTTTATTGATTTTTAGTGTCTGGGGACTTCTGTACCCTGCCAACTTAAGCTCTTAGATCTGTGTGACTTGAGTCTTTTCAGCTATTATTCAACTATATTCAGCCTTAGTGGTTCCATGGGGGAAAGAGAAGGCTTTCTGCTCCCATAAAGAGTTACAGCCTCGGAAACCCTATTCAGGGTCGCTGTGAGTCAGAACCGACTGCACAGTACATAACCGCCACTACTACCTAATGTTACCACTAGGTCGGCGGTTCAAACTCACTAGGTGCTTCTTGGAATCCCTACGTTGTTGTATTTAAGAGCCATTGAGTCAGTTCTGACCCATAGCGATCCTGTGTAGGGTTTCCAAGGAGTGGCTGGTGATCTTGAAACGATGACCTTGCAGTTCAAATGGCTTTGCAGTCTGGCGCATTAACCCACAGCGCCACACCAGGACTCCATGTGTTATAGTCCTTTTTATTTATTACTTATCTTGTATTTGTGTTGATGGTTGGTGGTGGTTGTGTGCTGTGGAGTCAGTTCCGACTCATAGCGACCCTGTATAGGGTTTCTGAGGCTGTAAATTTTTACAGGTGCCAAAAGCCTCATCTTTCTCTTATGGAACAGCTGGTAGTTTCGAACTGCTGATCTTGAGGTGACCTTGAGGTTAGCAGCCCGGCTCATAACCACTACCTGTGTTAACTTTTCTTTTTAAATTTTTTATTGTGATTTGGATGAAAGTTTATGAACAAATTAGTTTTCCATTCAACAATTCATGCTCATTTTGATTTGTGATATGGATCTCAGTTCCCTACAATGTAACAATCCTTTTCCCACTTTCTGTGTCCCATTTTCATCGGTCCTTGTTTCCTATCCCTTCCTGCCTTCTGAACTTTATTCCTGGGCAAGTGATACCTGTTGCTCTCGTATGGTTGATTGTTCTAAGAAGTCATGTACTTCTGTGGTGTAATTGTTCACCTTAAAGACCTGTCTATTGTTTGGCTAAAGTTGAGCTGAGGGGCTAAGTTCAATTCCAGACCCGAAGGGTGTGTAAGGGCCATAGTCTCGGGTTTCACCAGTTGCTGTCCTACCAGTAAACCTGGGTTTTTTGTTTTTCAACTTTTTATTATAAGTGAAGGTTTACAGAGGAGATCATCAGTTTTACATTTAATAAATCACCTACTTGATTTCATCTTAGTGCGTTCCCTGCAGGCTTACATCACTTACCTCACTTCTTCCCTGTACTGTTTTCATTCCTCCTCATCTCCCCACCCTTCAGAATTTTCTCCTTAGCGAAATATTGCCCTTTTGGGGTCAAATTGTTGACCAGTCTCTGGTGTGTGTACCTCAGTAGTGCCATTGCCATCCGTATGCCTATATATATTGCCTCCTATATATTGACTGAAAATTGAGTCATGGGGGCTGGGGGTGAGTTTAGTTCAGTCCTGAAGTATGACCAAGGATCATAGTCTTGGGATTCCACCAGTATTTATATGACTAGTAAGCCTGGTCTTTTTTAAGATTATGAGTTTTGTTCTACATTTTCTGTTACTTTATTCAGGACCTTTTTTTTTTAAAGTTTTTATTGTGAATTATGTGATAGTTTATATGGAAGAACATTAGCTGTACATTCTTTCTATCTTATTTTGTTTCATTGCAATGATTACAATTCCCTGCAAGCATCATCAAACAGCAAAGGGTACACCCCACAAGCCTGCTCCCTGATCATCAACACACAGACCTTCTCCCTCCCAGAGTCCAGAGTCCCCAGTCGCTCCCATCTCTCCCCGTTATTGTCTCTACCTCTGCTTCTCTGGTGTCACTGCTTCTCTGGATAGGGTCCCACACTCCGGTTCTCTCCCTTGATGGTCCCAGGGAGACCTCCGCTTCTGGACTGCAAGAACAGCCACTCCCCTCCTTTTGTTACAAAACATCTATCTTTACATTTCTGACTCTCACAATCAATCCTGATAGCAATTATTCACTATTGAACCACAAGAGTCTTATCCCCATCTCCTTTCACCAGCCCTGTCCAGACAGGTTGGAAACCACTCAGTGGAGTTTCTACCTTCCCCCACACCCTCTGAAACTAGGCTCCCTCTTGAAAGTTTGTAAGCCAGTTACTTCATGCCTTTGTAGGCCCCCTCCTCCATTTTGGGTAGCCAATGTCTTACGTTACCTATCCCTGTCTACCCTGTGTACTGAGGAGGTGGGAATGATCCTTACTGTAAAGATTCGTTCCCTCTTTTCAACTACTACATCTACACACATAGGTCAAGTTCACAAATTGTAGTGGATTACACTTTTTTTCCCTCTTCTTTCTTCCTCTAGTGGAGTTCTGGTCATCCAGCCATTGAAGGCAAGTCAAATGGGTACTATCTGCAAGTATGGGTGTTCTTGTGAATCTCTCCTCACTTCATATCAGCTGGACCCTTCACTCTCCACTCTTGTCCTCTGTGGCCATGTCCCTATCTCTGGGCCAGGAGTCCCCAGGTCTTGCCATACTGCTGAACAACCAGGTCTCCACCTGGGTTCCCAGGAGTGTATTGAACGTGGTAGGACTTAGCACGCAGCTTCATTGCTGTTTTTCCCTCACTTCCCCTTATTGACCAACGTGGTCACCAGTCAGACCCGCATGTGTGCTCATGTATTACCATTGAGTCTTAGTATTGGAAGGGGGTTTGCCCTGAGGGAACCCATCCACTTGCCTTCTTGTCTCCTGGGTGAGCAACTTGCTTGTTCTTGTAGTAGTCAGTCAGACTGCCATTATTGTTTTTGATCTTTCCTGTCAGTCTTTCTTTCACAAAGTGTCTTTTGTTCTTCTAGCTGCTCCAGGCTCATCTGCTTGTCTTTTCAAGTGGAAATTTCCCACCTCAGAAGATTCTGGATTCCACCTATGATCTTATGTAATGCAGAGGCTACACAGGAAGCCTCCTTCATTGGGCCACGTGCACGTTGTAGCCCCATTTTAGGTGTTACAATCGAGTTATAGGTAGAAGACAGACTTCTTCTGCCTGGGCCCAGGAGTCCCCAGGTCTTGCCATACTGCTAGCTACAGGAATCTATTGAATGTGGCTGGACTTAGCTCACAAATTTCTCCCACTTCCCCTTACCAGTGACCAACGTGCTTGTGTATTGTATTCCCCTTAAATCTTCATCTTGGAAGGGGGTTTGCCTTGAGGAGACCTTTTAATGTGACCCCTTTCAGAGCAGTTGGTAGTGGTAGCTCAGTACCATCTAGTTCTTTTGGTCTCAGGGTTGTGGAGACTGATGTTCACGTGGTCTTTTGGACTAATTGTTTTTTAAGTGTCTTCAATTTTCATCACTCTTCTTTCCTCCACTTTGGGAGAGGCCAGAAGTGACACTGTAGATCTGCCAAGGGCATCTAAGATCTCAGTTGTTACTCTTCCAAGTAGAATGTAAGACCACTGTTATGCTGTGTCCCCCAAGACTATGGTCCTGAGTCCCCTTGCCCACTGACTCATTCCATCAGAGTTAGGTAATGTCTAAGAAGTTTTTATAACTTTGCCCCCCTGTGTGTTCCACCACATTGCCTTTT